TCTTTGGTGACGTCGACTCCGGCGAAGATCATGGCTGTCTCCGAGATACCAGGCAGCCTTGTGGCCAGCTGCTGAGGCGGCAGGTGGTGAAGCTGCAGGTACACGTGGTCCTTGTCTGGCCCGACACCCCTGAACAAATGAAGACAGCAGAGTCCTGTTCAGTGGTTCCAATCTTCCTAGAGTGGTTATTAAAGTGTGACAGATTCATTAGATTTCAACTCATACTCAATCCATACCTGCCCTCTCTGATTTCTATTGTCATGGAGCGCGACACCACATCTCTGGAGGCCAGGTCTTTGGCGTTGGGTGCGTAGCGCTCCATGAAGCGCTCTCCCTCACTGTTGATCAGGATCCCTCCCTCACCACGGCAACCCTCTGTGATCAGGCAACCGGCTCCGTAGATCCCTGTAGAGATTCACATGTTAAACCAAAGTCTGTCTGACTCACTGATTAACAGAGATCCAGATCAGTTAGAATTTATCTCACAGTAGGCAAACTTTGATACTAATCCTCACAATAATGTCCCAGTTGTATATGGGCTACAACACAATTCCTTCGAGTAACCATGGTAACTTTAATAAGACATCAACCAGGCAATTCGATCCTAATGTTGATTAAAGAAACGGTCTGAATAGGAATCTTAAAAACATGAACTCCTCACCGCATTATTACCATTTTATTATGGTATAATCTTTTGTCAATAACAAATATGAGACCAAGCAGTGATGAGTTTATCTATCTTGATATTTACAGTGTGATTTTACTTCATCTTAAGCACCAGAAGATTAAACAGACAAATAGTTAAAAAAGGTATAAAACAATAGTAAGTGCCTTTCCGAAAAGCTGATTTTTACACAACCCAGTCAGCTTTGTTAAGAAACTGCTTTTTTTGTTACAAAATTATTCGATGATTAAAAAAAATATATATTTTAATTGTGTTAATAATAATACGCTTTTACAGTGTTGTGAGCTCATACAAAAGGAGTCTGCCTCCACTGCTGATGAATGATAAAAGCGCTCATTGTCTATAATCATTTGAACATGCACAGAAATCTAAACATCAAAACTTTTATAGATACTAATTAATATAAAGTCTGCTGTATTTCTGTAACCATGCACTTAAAACTAACTCCTGAAGTTAGTGGCTCAGCCTTTGAGGACCTGGACAAATCGCTGGGCTACTTCATCTGTGAAGAGTCTGGTGTCATATGACCAGCAGGAACAAAAATAAAGTTGACCACTTGTCTATGTAACCTCTACGTCAACAAGCTAGCCTGAACAGACTCATGATCAGCCCCATTTTAAAAAGGCACAACAGAGTTATTGAGTTCGGAAGCTCAAATAATATGTATTCGGGAGTACCAATTAACATAAAAGACCATTGAGCGTTAATAAATGAATTGTATTATTGTTCCATATAGTCAATGGGACCGAAGGATATGGTGTAATAGTAAATTTTCTTACTCTCTCATTTACATTTAAGCAGAAAGTTTTCTATGAATTAAACTACAGATAATTAGTGTTTTATAGTCTTACAATTATTTTAATCTAGTTTAAAAAAAAACTCAAAAAAGAATTGCATTGATCTCTAGATAAAAGTGTGAATAGACTGATAATGAAAAACATTTCTCATTGTTCATTATTAACCATTAAAGCCTGACTCTGAATAATGGACTTTGAACTGTTGTTGATAAAGTATCTTGATTAGTTAAAATCACTTTAACGCTGCTTTCAGACATGCACTGGACTCCGTATTTTCTCTGGAGGTGCATGCTCCGCAGTTTCTAAAGACTTCATCCGTCTAGCCTCCAAGTGTAATGTCTAGAAATCCATGAGGAGTCGATGTAAAAGGGAAACTCGAGGTAAACTCTGAGGCCAATTCTCCGGATCTCCGGACATCTAGACATGTCTTTCAAATACGTACCCACATATTTTGGAGCGGTGGAGTCATTAAAACAAGATTCAGTTTAACGCTTCAGAAACTGAACTACTTCATAACTTGATCTTTAAAATGTATGTGTCTCACCAGTAGGATGGAACTGTACAAACTCCAGATCCTGGCAGGGCAGGCCAGCTCTGGTCACCATCGCATTTCCATCTCCCGTGCTAGTGTGGGCAGATGTGCAGCTGAAATAGGTTCTTCCATAACCCCTGGAAGAGAAACACGTGCAAAGGTTAAGAAATGTATATAATATCAAAACTATGGTAATGACATAAAGCTGAAAAATCAAGACAGACTATCAGCTAAGTTGTGTTATATTGGCGTCCCCTACCCAGTAGCAATGACAGTATTCTGGGCTCTGAAGCGGTGAATGGATCCGTCCTCCATGCAGAGAGCAATTACTCCTTTACACTCTCCATTTTCCATCAGCAGGTCCAGGGCAAAGTACTCCACAAAGTAACTCGTGTCATAACGAAGTGACTGCACAGGTGACAGACAAGCAAAGAAACACATGAAATTCAGATCAAACTTCACAAAAGAACTGAATGCTTGGACTGAGTCAGAGAAAGAGGGTGAGAACATGTGTGTACTTACTCGTCCATATAGTGTATGAAGAAGCGAGTGTCCTGTCCTGTCTGCTACACAGCAGCAGCGGTGAGCCTGGCCTCCTTTTCCATACTTGAGACTCTGACCTCCGAAGGCCCTCTGGTAGATCTTCCCATCTTCAGTACGGCTGAACGGCATACCAAAGTTCTCCAGCTGGAAATTAAGACAGCAACATGAGTTTCTGATATGCACTTATTGTGCGTCAGATAAACCGTCAGCATTTGGTTTATAATCTGAGCCAGTCTATCCTTAACCCTCATGTGTTTTTAAAAGTATTTAACTACAATTGTATTGTAGATGTATTAAAATACTTCATCCTTTATTTATTCAACCTTTTAAATGTATTAAAATCAAATCTTTCTGACTTGCAAACCAGGACATTTTAAATATTAAAATCTGTATCATGTTTAATTGGAGTAATAACAAATGTTATCAGATAATATTGTAAAACACTGAGCAAGTGAAGCATTATGAATACTGTACTAGTCTTCATGCTATTTAAATTTACTGACATGTCAGTGTCAGGATTAATTTGTTATAAATAACGTTACAGCATGGTAGCATGTGTTGTGATTTTGATTTGATTTAAACCCTAATTTGCTTTTATGGGGTTTCATAATGCTATGCTGTATGTTCTAATTGAATGGTTTAGCTCTTCGGTGGTCAGAGGCCAGTTAACACACAGCTGGGTATCTGAGCAAGGTCTTACCTCCACTACAGCTGCAGGAGCCTGCTCTGTCATGTAGTGAATTGCATCCTGGTCTCCCAGCCAGTCAGATCCCTTCACTGTGTCATAGAAATGCCACCTCCAGTCATCATCCTCCATGTTCCCCAGAGCTGCATTGATCCCACCCTGTGAACCAAGTCAACAATTCAATCCTTGAATCAATTGTCTTTACTTAAAGCCAAACAAAACAAATCTGTAGAGATTTCTTTAAATTCTTTAAAAAATGACATACAAAAAAAATATATATAGCAAGAATTTATGTATGAAGTGTGTTGTTGTACCTGTGCAGCGACAGTATGAGACCTGGTGGGGAAGAGCTTGGTGACGCAGGCAGTGTTGAAGCCAGCCTCTGACAGGCCAAAGGCTGCTCTCAGTCCAGCCCCTCCAGCTCCTACCACCACTGCATCAAACTCATGATCCACAACTGGGTACTGAGTAGAGATCTGCAGACAATGAAGGAGAGACACTACTATAAACACATTAAGTTTGCATAATGCAAGGATAGTTTGCATACTTATCATTGTACATTTTTTCACCAGTAATCTAGACACCAAATGCAGAGGCTAACATGAGAATATATTCTGCCATGCATATGCATGATTTTCCCTTATGGAGTTTGGTTTTTAAATAAAAAGAGCAAATCTCACTCACATCATCTGATACTTTGGCATTGTTCTTCTTGCCATAGATGGAGAAGTGAAAGTTCCTGGAGCCCTGAACTGCAGCAGCAGGCACCTGACAGAAAATAAGAGAAATTAAAAACAAAAACAAAGAAACCCCCAAATCCAATAGTGACGGCAGCTCATCTAGAGAACTCAAAGACTGCTAAGAACAAAGAGTGCTGTACTTATTCGGTTACCGATCTGTGGCATCATTTTAAAATGAAAAGTCGAAAGCTTTCATGAGAAACACGTCCTGTTCCATCCTCTATCACTGAGCATGTCAACAGGCAGCAGCTAGCTCAGCTTTCGACAAGGGCAGCGGAAGTGCCTGTAAAAACTCGCTGCTATAGTTCTGTTGACAGTTTACTGCAAACATTACTGACAATGTATGATGTCAAAGAAGAAGAGAGGACGGAACTTTGAGGAGCATTTTAGTTGGAGTCGCAGAAGAGCTCTTTTCTTGGTGTCACATTGAAACAACCTCGGCTACATAACACACGTTACGAAAGCCAGACAGCGCTGGTTACGAAAGCTCACGGTGGTTCACCGTTTGTCCTTTCTGCTGGAAGAAAGCGCGACCGCAACATATACACACGGCACACACAGATACACAAAGAGTTGGAACTCGTACTGCAATAACTCACAGCTTTTGACTTCGCTAAAACCCTCTTGGAGAGGAGACGGGAGGCAGCGCGGACACTCGCCATGTTGTCAGATGAAGGAGCGATCCTGAAACACGACGGAGGATGGGATATTCTGCTGCACTGGACCCAACCACTCCTCAAATATGGGGGTGTCACATATGTTGAACCTAATGATTATCCTCTAAATTCATTCATAAACGTATTTCTATCCAAAGAGGGGCTCCCAATGCAACTTTGAATATCATTGCACATACAATCCCGTATTTTCCGCTCTTAATTTCTTTATTGTGGGAATAAAATGAACGTGAGCGACCCCGCTTGGTGTAGCCGGGCTGCTGAAGTGTAGACTTGTATAATCGGGGTGAGGAGGAACAAATATATAAGTGACCTAGACTTTTCATTCAAGGTGAGACGCTGCACCGTGGATCTGAGTGGGCTCCAGCGGCTGCTTGTAGAGATTTCAGAGCTCTAGAGCCCCGTGTTGTGTGCATATCCAAACGCTACCGCGAGCACGCTCCAGCAAGCCAAATGTTAGCTAGCATGTTAGCTCGTAGCCTTATTGTGGTTAGCCGGCCGAGCTGTCAAATATCCGACTCTTTCCAGACTGAGTTCGCTGTTGTGAATGCTAACGAGGCTAACTGCTAACAGAAGTGTTGTGCATAGTGAGGTATTTGCAGCACAATTTGTAAAAGGCAAAAGGTTTTAAACGCTGTTGTGTTAATGACAGTGCACAGTGAATCTGAAAGCAGACCAATGGACCCTGCTGGAGAGAGAGAAGCATCGCAATTAGCTTCATAATCACAAGTGTACGTTTGTGCATCTAGGTCGGTTTATACCTGCAGCTGCTGACATGAAGCTTCCGGTCAGCAAAGGAATAACAAAGAGCTGCTAGTGACTGTAGCATCAGTGTTAGAAGTGAATAACGAGAAGCCTGTGCTCCTTCAGCAGCACCATTCAGCCAGTGCTGCACATTTTCTCACCACTGATCTGCATGTAAACATGGACAGTATTACTGATGTCTTGTTCCCCCTGTGTTTATGTATGTCTGCGATTGACGTCAGCCTCCATGAACAACTTAAATGACCCCCCCAGATGGAACATCCAGCCTGACGCCAGAGGACGGGGGGCGGGGGACGGCGATGGCAACCAATGGAACTACGCCCTGCTGGTCCCCATGCTGGGACTGGCTGCGTTTCGTAAGTTACGCAAAGTGTGTGTGTGTGTGTGTGTGTGTGTGTGTGTGTGTGTGTGTGTGNGTGTGTGTGTGTGTGTGTGTGTGTGTGTGTGTGTGTGTGTGTGTGTGTGTGTGTGTGTGTGTGTATATATGAGGTAACAAACACAGGAACGCAGATTTGTGCAGTTTAAAAAATATTTTTAAAAACAATGTTAAAGGTTCAGTGTGATTTAGCTGAAGTGAACCTTTGGCAGAATTTGAATATACAATGATCCTAGGGATGTTTTCACTTGTGTGTTTCATCTAAATTCAAAAAATAGTTTTTGTCTTTGCCCCTTTATATTTAAATACTTTATATTTACAGCAGGAGCGGATCCATGTTTTTTACAGTAGCCCAAACTGGACAAACTAAACACCTTGTGAGTTTTTATGACATGTTTGGAGGAGGGGTGAGGTGATATTATATACTAGGTCTCAAATATGATTAGGTAGGTCTTAATGTTATGTTAATTGTATGGTCTAAGATGTTATTCTGTCAATGTTCATTTAACGCTACTTCTGTTTTGCAATAAAATTCTTTTAAAAGAAGTAATCTGGTAGTGCACATGATTTGGTCTGTTGTAGTTGTTTCAGTTCTTTCAGTCCAGATATTGTTAGGCTGTAATAAAACTACAAATGACAAGTCTGTCTCTGGCTGTAGTTTGCAAGATAACTTGACATTTCCAGGTTTTTCTCTATGTCGGTAAGCTACTCCACCTTATCTTCAATTACAGTGAAGTGTCAGTAATTGAGGGACTTCAATATTCCTTCATATCTGTCGTACTTGATAAAGGTCTTTGGTTTTAAAAAAATTCAAATTTGACTTATTGATACTTGCAGAAACCCAGGTTTTATATCTACTCCTAGTTTTAGAGACAAAATGCACTCTTCCTTATCATTCAATTGCTTGATTCAGCAGGTTTAGCAAAATCTGTATTATGTGCTGCAGTTGGTCTGGATTTGAGATATCTTCTCACCCCCTCATCCATATCTCCAACCCCCCTTTCAGGTTGGATCTGGACCAGAGAGTCTCAGAGAGAGATCCAGAAGGTCAGAGCCCAGTATGACAAGGATGTGTCCACCATGAGAGAGGAGATGGAGACACGGTACAGGGAGACACTGACAGAGAGGCGCAGGGCAGCTGCTAAACTAGAGCTGGAGCTAGAGAAGGAGAGACAGAGGGTGAAAGGCTACAAACAGGCCCTTATCTCACAGAGCCAGCAGCTGATGGAAGAGCGGAAACAGCTTCAACAGGTAAAAACTCCCACTTCAACTGGCCCTCCAGTTCTGAAATTGTTCACTTTTCCTACCTAACATAAAGCTTCTTCTCTATAACCAAAGCTCTTTCTTCTCTCTCACAAGGAGCGAGAGGCCTTGGAGGAAGAGAAGCAGAAGCTGGTAAAGTCCGGAGCTGCTGGTGCTGTGCTGCATCATGCCCTGGAACGAGAGCAGGACTGGTACCAGAGAGCCACAGCCACTCTGAAGGAGTTAGAGGGTCACCTTGTGGAACGCCAGAATGCCTACTGTTCCCTCATCCAACCCCGAGATCAGCGGCTGGAGATGGAGAAGAACATGCTTCTGAGGGTTGTCAAAAACCCCATCAGGGCAGAACTAGACCTAGAGACTGACCTGAAGGACATTTTTAAGAGAGATAAGAGCTGTGCTGACCTGCTGAACAATGACAAGAGGAAGAACGGAAGCCTCATGTGGGTGTATCTCAAGTACTGGCAGCTGCAGGTCACTGTCCAGAAACACAAGAATGCTGAGGAAGCCATATTAGGAGGGAAAATCCAGTCTCACACAAAGTGACAGAAGACAAGGCTGGTGTTTTTCCTCTGACTATTGAAGAGCACTGAAAATGAACATGTATTGTTCATTCTGAGGAATAGTCTTATCTTGACAGGGATGTTATGGGAACGCACAAGATAATCGCAACAAGATCATGTTCAGCCTCCGAAAGTTCCATCCTTCATCTCTGAGTTTAGAAAAGAGGAGAACTTTTGTCAGGTTTAACATGCTGAAATACAACGTTTCTTCAGAAGCTCCAGATAAGACTCATTAGCTTTAAATCAACTGTGGGAAAACCCACAATCATAAATATGCATTCGAATCTCTGTTAATATCCATATTGGATACTCAACCAATGTTTGATTACATCTACAGTTTTATTTTTTCTATCTATACCTTTGAAAAGGTGGTCTGAGGGCCATGAATCACTTCTAGGTGAGTGAATGTGTGAATGTTGACTTTTATTTTGCTCCCTCTGTCTTTGGAATGAATTAATGGCTTCAAAAAATGGTGCATGTCATCCCAGGTAACACACAGAGAAAAAACTGTCTCATCAGGAAAACTACATTAAATCAAAAACTGGCACACAAAACATTAGTAATACATGGTTAAGTCTTTCAGTGCTCTGGTATGTGTGGATACTGGGTTTTTATATGTCGATGGATGGTTGTGGGACAGTTTCTAGTCTTCAGTCTGGATTTGTGGGAGTCTCATGTCTATCGGCAGGGAGACAGGATTAGTTCAGGTGCATGTGAATTTGAATAAGGGAACAGAGCACTAAGTAGTGCTTGGATATGAACCTCATTACACTGCTACAACAAAAATAAAATATAAAACACTGAAGGCCTGTGATTGATTGTTTATTGAAATCAAGCTTGATGAGTGTTGGATGTTTTGCCACTGACCATTCAGTTGCACTATTCAGTACATTTTTTTACTCTCAAAAGTACTGTTGTATTTACTTGTTATTTTACCACAAGGGGGTGCTGTCTTGGCATTTGTTCTCTAAAGAATGACAGGGAAATTAATTCTGCATTTAAAAACTGCAACAGGAATACAGAGAAAGAGCTGACACATAAATACTCATCCTTATAGTCCTATCACAACCAAAGATTATCTATGTACATTTATTTATTGTATTGTCTCTTATGTGATAATCGTATTGATATTAATATCAAAAAGTAATTCCTCCGCACATTTTCATGGAGATTTGTATGGAAATCACTGACAATGATACAAAAAATATAGTTTCCTGGGGCATAACAGTTGTCTTAAAAGTATAACTTCATTATGTGTTATTTCCACAATACAACATATTTCCAACTTTTGTGTGTTTTAATTATGACAAATTAGATAAGTGACACTTCTAACATAACAGTCAAAAACATGGGCATCTTTTTCTAAGGCTCTCGTTTGGATGATACTGTAATACAGTGTAGATATTTCATGCAACTTTCAAACAAATGTTCACGTACAGTTACCGGCATGTGAACGACAAGAACACATGTTATGTTGTATTTTCTGTGCTGCAGCTTCAGACGTTTCTTCAGCCGCACCTCCTTGTTTCACTCCCTCCTCTGCGCTCGATGAGAGTTTTCTCTTGGAGAGGACATGAGGCTGGAGGCTCTGAAGTTCACTCTGATTGGCTTTCTGAGGTCCTGAGTTGTGTCAGTCACTTTGTGCTTCTTCACCTCACCTTTCACCCGCTCTCGAGTGGCTGGCTGTTCCTCTGTGCACCCTCTGGCATGGCCTGGGTCCCTGCTGGTGTTCAGGACAGGTAGGCGGTGCTCTTTCATAGCTCCGTTGAGACTGCCCAGCCTCACTGTCTGACTGGGGCTCCTCTCGACCATGAAGTGCTCCACCTGTTGGAGCTTATAACTCTCTCTGCGGACGTTATCTGTCTCGGACAGTTTCAGCCTGGAACATAATACAAACACCAGACTGATGGTTTTTAATCTGTAAAACTGATGCTTCACTGCTCTTGGTTAGTTTATGAATTTATGACCTCATCATATATCACCAGTGTTTTCCTTATGCAGCTACAGGCAACATATGACAGTGATTCTCAAATGCACACTGCCAAGGGATTCATGAAAAGTTTCTAGATATCATGATGGGTTCAGTGTTGACGTGGTGAAAATACTTTCAATACATGTCTGATATCCAAGAAATTTCTCTCACAACTAAGTACAAGTTTAAACAGAATGATTCCTAGGAACATACATGTAGTATGAAATCTTTTCTTTCATGTAGGACCTGCAGTAATATCATTGATCAGGTCATGAAGAGCAATTTTCAACCAAAACAAGGCCGAACAGCAGCAGATTTCTACCGTACTTTGCGTCAATCACTCTTAAAACTGAGCATGTTCATTCTGCTGTACACTGGGACATGCAGATCTACAAATGCTAAACAAACTTCATGAATAGACAGAAAAAAGTTGAACTTGTAAGGAGAACAACCTACTTGTATTGGGGTCTTGTTTCAATGACCAGGCTCAGCCAACACACTTGGAGGCTCTCCTTCCTCCACTGGTTGTCCTCGTGAATATCACAGTGAGAATTCACCAGGTAGCAGCCTCCTCTGCTGACACAGAGCATCGTGGGATCGTGTCAATGGCGTGAACGTTAGTTAATGTCCGTCTACACCAAAACGTTCCGTTTTTTTACTTCTAACCCTTGACTGTTATAACAAAACTCATAGGAAAAGAATGTGTCGTCTCTGTGTATCAAGTAGTCTGAGATTTGTGTGTGTTGGGCAACGTCTTAAATATCAAGTCTTGTTTCTATTTTTACTCGTCTGCATCACATTGTGGTGAATGTCATGAATGTCCTCCTCAAAACATCCTGAAGATTGGTTTTCATTTGAAAAGGAGCTTTAGCTCTTTCCATGACGTGAGCCGGCCACAGGAATCCAGAGGAGAGTTGAGTGTGAGTCCTCACTGACTTCATACGTTGAACCACCGAACATGTAACAGTAGTTTTTAGTTGTTTCCTATATTCATGATGTAAACTCACTGGTTATACTAAACACGATATCACCACCAGGGTAGAAACTTTACAGATATGTAACTAGTTCAAAATGGAGCCGAACTTACCCTGTGTGTGTGTGTGTGTGTGTGTGTGTGTGTGTGTGTGTGTGTCACCCCATCACTTCAGAGTTAATATCCTCCCACTCCTCAGATGTCTCTCACATGTTTCAGGAAGGAGACAGCTGAACAGATCACTGACTCACAGCAGTAATCCAACTCATTCATCCAAAGCCATTCAAGCACCTTGGCCAGATTCACGCTGAGGGCTGCAAAAGCTGATGTTAAGTGACAAATTCTTCATGTCACCACCATTACCACTGCATTCAAAGTAAAGGCCAGCAGAACGCAGTACTTTAACAAAGACATGGTTAGTTTGGCCAATGAACGAGTCTTGAGTTGAACAGATGTGCGCCAAGATACTGATTTTATTTTTGTGACGATGGACAGAAGTAAAGGAGGGGTAGGAGTCAGACACCTCACTGGGAAGAACACTGAGTTTCATCAAACTGTGATTGTGAAACTGAATCAGAGGGTGAATGATGGTGTGACTGAGGCAGTGGATAGTACGCTGGTCTCACCCTAGAATAAACAATGTATCCAAGAGCCAGAGTTACATGACTTCAATTTAACACTGAATCCTGACAAGCAGATATTGCTTTGGCAGCATTAACTCAAACCCAGAAACTCAAGCATGAGCATAGCATCATGTCTAGAAGTGGCAATCAGTTTTCCATCACAAGCAGACGATTTTGAAACCAATTTACTTACATTTTGATCACGCCTTTCAAGGGACCCAAGGACTCTTTACATAATTGAGGGAGAAGGACATATTTAAGGTGACAAAGATGAGGACAGATTGTATCAGACCAGGTCATATGGATTTTTAAAAAGATGAGTTTGGAGTTTTTGAATGTACCGGGGGAAGTGGTATTGCAGATATCTATTTGCAAGTGGAGGTCAGATATGTGTTCAGAGCGAGGCCTTGTGGGGACCGTTTGTTTTCATCTGCATTTGTAAGTTGCAGCATTACACAAAAACTACTGGATGGATTACCATGAAACTTGGTGGCAGATCCTGATCAGGACAAAGATCCCACATTTTTATCACTTTCCTTAACTTTATGAGTAGGTGTGTTTTATTACATTTACACTGATTACCCAGGAATTATTTTTGAATCTTTAAGAAGTTTATGGAATTATATCTGGGAGAGTGTGTCATTTGGTGCAGTTTGATTGAATTGAAGAAGATTCTTGACTGAGTCTCTGCTGAGTGTCATGAGTTTCACTAACATTGTCCTGACGTCTTGCCACTGGTGAAATACACAGAAGACTTGAAGTTGGTGCTTCTCTGTCTGAGTTAGATGTAAAGGTCCCAAAGCATAGACACTACAATTGGTTGGTTGGTCCTTTATCTATAACCTGACCTTGGGTACTGCTTGGAGAGAGAAGGGAGGATCTGTGGAATTACAATTACAAAATGACAACAATTACTATGCACATTTTGCATGAGCTCACTTATTATTTAAAAGGTAAAGAAAGAACATTAAAAGACTTAAGTCAAACAATGGATTTATTATCACGCTTTCAAATATACAGTCAATTTCTCTCAGACTGGCATCAAGTCTGACAAACAATTCAAACCGAGATGAACAACGATGTCTGGCAGCATTAACTCCAAAGACTGTTGTTGTTTGGACATCAAATCTTTAGATTTTTTCCACCAGCAAATTAATGATAAAGCATCATCACAGATTGAGTTAAAACTGCATCTCCCCTGATGAATTATATTAGTTATTCATTTAAAGCCTGGACAAAACGTGCCATTCACTGTATCAAAAAGGACACCATTAGCTGAACCAGGCCGGCCTCTTCCTGGGCCTCTCCACTATCCTCTTGTCTTGGTCCCGCTGGCTTGGTGTCTCGCCCTCATACAGCACCACCGTCTCCATTGTCGGCGCCCTCAGCGGGCCTCCTTCCATCGCTTGAATCTGTTGGCGAATCCGACCGGTCTCCCTGCACACCTTGGCGTAACAGAAGCCGCACAGGATGTGTTTCTGCTTCAAGTGGCCACACTCTAGGCACGGCTCGATGTTGGTCTGAGACAGACAGTGAGAAAGAGAATGAAGAATGTGGATCAAGACATGTCAAGGCAACAGTGGCGTTTCTATACGACCATTTCTTCTTGCTAATACAGCACATACACCACAACTGGTTTATGGCTATTAAGTTATTTTCTTGATCTGACTGCTAATGAAATGATGTGCATCATCAGTCACATTTAACAACAGGGGTCATAAACACAACAGTTAAATTGCATTCAGATTTTTTGTTATAATATTAATTGACTGCTAAGAATTGCCACAGATAATCTGTGATATACGCATTTAATAATAATAAACTTTATTTGTATACATCTTTCATACAAGAAATACAGCTCAAAGTGCTTTACATAGCACATAGGTCAAAATAAAAACATGTTAAAATGTAATTCATTTAGTTCTTTGTTACTATAACAAGCACTTTTTATCGTATAATCTTGCGGTGTAATGAAATAAAGATTTAGAGATTCTACTTTCCCACTGATGTGTTGCACTAGTTTGCTTTACTTTCACCTTCATCCCAAATCTGCTGTGAGGTTTAAGTCTGGAGACTGAGCCACTCTTCTTCATGTCAGTTTCTTTTCTTCTTGTGTTTCTGTTCAGTGTCTTGTTGCAGGTGAAGCCCTGATCCACCAGTTTGTCTTTGTTACTTGTCAACCATTCTGATAACAATATACAGCACTACTGCCTGCAGAGGAGTATTGTCCTACAAATGCATCAGAGGGTGTAGTGACACAGTTTTTCCCGAAAAGTAGCTTTATACGGGCAGAATAAAGTTTGTTAATGTTTGCACTGACTTCCAAGGCTTTAATTACTTCCATTGCTGCAGGAAATCTGTAAGTCTGCCAATTTCTCCATCCTCACAGACTTGTTTTCTATGAAATATTCATGATTTTTCCCTTTTTGGGGACATTTTGTCATTGACGTGGGCAATTTACCACTTACCTTTTGCATATTTAAGGTTTTTCAGGGGACCTGAACTTGATATTTCAATAGAACTAGTAAAATAGCACCTTAAAAATATGGGTGTTCTCAAACTTCTGACTGATAGTGTAAATACTGTAGATGAGCATACTGTACACTCACTGACTAGTTTATTATGAACACCGTTCATAGGGTTCCTTCTGTTTGACCTCCATACGACTTGAAGTCTTTGTGGATGGAGTATCTTTGAGGAGATCTAGCTGAAGTCGGACCAGATGTACCTTCACTTTCAGGAGCTTGCTGTCAGATCTCCTCCTGGTGCGGTTGACCTCTATGCTTCGTCTCTTCTTGGGCACTGCCATCCACATGATGCTGTCCTGCAGAGCGGAGGACTGCTCCTGCTCCTGCTCCTCCTGAGGCTGGAGCCGAGGCAGGAGGCTGGGACCACTGACTGCCAGAGCTGGAGCTGCACAACAGGAGAAACAAACACACAGATGTCTCCTCTCTTGTCACTGCTCCGTTAGCTGAGGTGAGCGTCCAGAGCTCCAGGAGGTGAACTCACCCAGATGAGGGTCTAATCCCGCCGCCTGCAGGAGTCTGCTCTCGATGCGCAGCAAAGAGCATCGGAGGCTGTTCACCAAAGCCGCTAAATTCATCTTGAAGTCTGCCAGCACGTTTCTGCTGCTAACATGTCACACAGCTCTCGGTCACGCAGGCTGACGACGTCACTACACAGCGACAACAAGCTATACTTCTTCTTCTGTTTGATTTCCGGAAGACAAGGCGGCTTTTGGTGATTCACTACCATCTACTGGTCAACTATCCAAACTACGCCCTCCCAGTGACAAAATAACGAAACATAAAGTTAATTCTCTCAAACCAAATCAAGTCTGTTCTCCATGAATCTATTTGTCTAATATATTAATCTAAAATGCGTTTTTATCCTACAGTCATTTTTCGGATCACTTATAGTTCCATAGAAATGTTTTCGTAAAAAAAGTTAATTCTATGACTTCCAATTGGAATATTACAATTTATATGTAAATATGTTTTCACAAATGTTGCAGTAAGAATATATTATATTAGATTTTTTATTTATTTGTTTTATTTTAATTTTAACTCATAAAGTGCAATGTTTTGCATTGATCAAATGTAAATTATAATAATGAACCATTAAGAAAACTAAAAATAACTAATACAATTTGGATTTGATCTTAAAAAAAATAAGGGGGAATGCAAAGAAAATATATTTCAATCTCAGAAGACACCAAAATTACAACGAGAAGCTTTTCCTTTAGTAAAACTCGTGATGTGTGTGTGTTTTCAGACGTAATGTTCATAACATCACGGGAGGTGCTCAGTCTTTATAGGTGGCGGTAAACACACTGGAGCAGCTTTACAACTGCTCCGCTCACTCACAGTAGAAGAAGAAGAAGACGAACAAGATGGCGGAACGAGGCTACAGTTTCTCCCTCACCACATTTAGGTAAACTTTGTTAAAATGATCATCAAATGTGAAACAGACGTGTAGACGTGCAGCCTGTAGTGATGACTCCATCATAACAGGTTGATCAAATGTGTGCGCGTGTCTCTGGTCTAATCTGAGGAGAGGGTTTCGGGAGCCGCTGTAGCTGATGCACTGTCATTGCCGAGCACATCAATGAATCGGCTAACGGTTAGCATGGCGGCTAATGGGTTTTCAAATGAAACGCTCTTATCTTTCTTCTCCCTGGTGTAGATAATTCTAACTCCTGTAAATGGTTTGTTTCTGAGCTCAGAACCGAACAGACTGAAACGGATCGATGTTTCATGCTTAGCCACAAGTTTCTGTTAAGCTAGCGCTAACTTAGCTCACATGATTCAGTTGTTTTAGCTTTTGCTTTCATTTTGCCTGTGTTACGCTAATTCCGGTTTTCAGAATAAAGTTGGTGAATTCGCATTTAATGAAGTAATGTTCGTAAAATTCCTCCGCTCTGCAACATATGAACGTATTTTCCTTCTCTGTTTGTTCCTGCAGCCCCTCGGGGAAGCTGGTCCAGATTGAATACGCACTGGCAGCTGTAGCAGCCGGAGCTCCCTCAGTTGGCATCAAAGGTATGAACTCATGGATCATAAGAAACTGTGGGTTCAATCTGGATCACTGTTCTGTGATGGTTTATGACAGGTTGTTGATTAAATATAGAAAATGCTTAAATTATACAGTGTTAACTGTATTGGATAATAAACCACATACTTTAAATACAACTGTTGAAAGGATGAATGTCTCCAGCTACATTCATAACTGTGGTGGTATTTTATACAGAAACGGAAATTAGATGTAAATGACTTCTGACATAGCTTCAGTCATTTGGAGTCATTTCTTTTGACTTGGAGTAAGTGCCAGCTGCAGAGGGCAGTGTGACTTCAGCTTGAATGTGGCAGCGGTTCACAGAAAGGAATTTTAAACCTTAAAAACAAAACTCAGAATGCTAATACTGTTAAGTAATATATCGCTATAGTTTATCCGATATGTCAACAGCATTGTCATATATCTGAACAAGTTAGTGGGTTATCCTAACACAGTGAAGCAGTATCCTTAAAGGCTGCATTACATTACATTAAATTACATAGTAAAATCAAGATGAACAATATTACCACTGGTTAGGATTTGTTCTGACATTAACTGTGGTATTCTCATTGTATTTCAGCTTCCAATGGAGTTGTCCTGGCGACAGAGAAGAAACAGAAGTCCATTCTGTATGATGAGCAGAGTGTCCATAAGGTGGAGCCCATCACTAAGCACATAGGCATGGTCTACAGTGGCATGGGGCCTGACTACAGGTGGGGACTCTTGAACAGATTGTCTTTGTTTTCTAATTTCTGACACGTTTCTTTCCGTGTGATGTCCTTCAGCTTCTAAATTTCAATACAGAAAAACATGAATATAGGCAGGACTGACATTGTTCACTAGCAGCTACAACTAAACTAGTCTTATCCCATGTGTTGTAAATTAATATATTTGAGGATTTGCATGTTTAAGCACTTCAACAAATTGTCCATTGTAAAAATGTTTGCAAAGCTTACCATAACGTATTTAGACTGATATTCTACTCTCCAGACAGCTATTGATGTCTTGTACTCCATCGTGAGATTTTCTCGGCGGCATTATGTGCATGAGCATTATGTGTTTCTTTTTACTGTTGCTATATAGCCAGGGATACTAGTTAGATTACTTACATGCAGGAAAGGCGCAGCATCAAACTTCATTCCTTATCTCACCCAGAGCTGTCTCCAGCGATAGAAAGCAACACCAATGTTTTCTTTTGGTAAATGTCTATTTTAAGCTGTTTATTTTTCTCCTACTAACCAGCTAGTTCCAGCCTGGCTTGCCTCTATTTTCACTTTGTGTCCAGAGCCACTGCAGCCATGCATCCCATGCTATACTACAGAGTCATTATAGGCACAGTAGAGCTAGCTCTATGCCTTTTGCCAATCCAAACTTATAACATTGATAGTTTTGTGCGTTTTGGTTGTGAGAATGAAATATGTGTTTTGTGTAGATGATTTAAAAAAAAATTAAAAAAAATTCAAGACTCCGTTGACTCTGTACATGAAAATATTCAGAAGCTGCCCCAGTTAGTTTTTCCGACTACCTAACCTCACATATTCAGAAAGGTTAATGATTTGTGTTCTCTTTTCAGGGTTTTAGTGCGACGAGCCCGGAAGTTGGCACAGCAGTACTTCCTGGTTTACCAGGAGCCAATTCCCACAGGCCAGCTTGTCCAGAGAGTTGCCTCTGTAATGCAGGAGTACACACAGTCTGGGTGTGTATTAACCAAGATGCACAAATATGTAGATACATCACTGTATTTAAAAGGTTGGATATATTCAGGCAGAATATTTATTTTGATGTCTTTTTTTCAGTGGTGTGCGTCCATTTGGCGTATCATTGCTGATAGCTGGATGGGATGAAGACCACCCCTACCTGTTCCAGTCAGACCCCTCTGTAAGTTGTTTTCATAGTGGTGTTCATATTTGTCCTCAGTTAATGTGCCATTAATAGCTCAGGGTTATCTTATAGTAATGCTGTAATTGTTCAAGAAATCTTGACAGCAAATTGAATCCGAATTGCTTTTAAGAATGAACTGCTCGTTTTGTCTTGGGTAAACTAATCATGTCCAGGAGGTGACAAAAAAACCCTGTTAGTTATACTGTGTATAACATGCAGATCCTGTCTGTTTATAATGTGCTCAACAATTACACATTCACCTTCAGGCTACATCCATTCTATGTATTTTCAATTAAAAAATATCCAGGTCTCAGTCTGTATGAGTGTTTTAGCTCCCTATCAGTAATCCCTGTCCAAACCAACACAATTCACGTACACAAGGCATGTGTTAGGCAGTTTAAACAGGAAGTAGATTTCCTACTCTGCAGTGAGTTGCTTACTTAGAGAATTATCCTACATGAACGAGAAACTGAAAAGCAAGAATTTTTCTTTTCTTGTGAGAGCAAGATAGAATTGTTACTGAGACTAATTGTTTACGTTGTCATTGCTGCCGGTCAAGTCATGACTGACAAGAACCAGGAAGTGAATGTGGGTTTCTAAACGTTGCAGTTTTTGCACGTCCATACTACTTTGCAGCTCCAGAGTTTCCAAACTAAAATGGGACGAGCAGTGCTCCCAAATAGTGTTGACGACAGGTGTAAACATAGCAACAGTGATTCGATTTCATATTAAAATGTAGTAATGTGGATGTAGCCTCAGTCAGCAGTGATTTTAATCTGAAGATTATATTATTTTCAATTCTCTGTACGTTGTGTATAACATACTTACTGGCCTGAAGAGTTTTTTCTTTTTGATTGACAGGGTGCATATTTTGCATGGAAAGCCACAGCCATGGGAAAGAACTACGTTAATGGAAAAACATTCCTTGAGAAAAGGTATGCGTCTACAGTAACAATATGTTTAGATTTTTTTTACAAATGTGGATTATGATAATATGGGCTGGGCTTGATAAACATGACACAGACTGGTGGATGACCACTTTGTTTTCCTTCTCCAGGTATAACAATGATCTGGAACTGGAAGATGCCATCCACACAGCCATCTTGACATTGAAGGTATGTTGTTTATTTATTTAGAAAAAATACCCATTGGACTCTCTTACTTATTCACTCTTTCTCCACTATTATTCTCAGTCATTGACACTGCTCCATCTCTGTGTTACAGGAGAGTTTTGAGGGTCAGATGACAGAGGAGAACATTGAGGTGGGGATCTGCAACGAGGCCGGCTTCAAAAGACTCACCCCAGCAGAGGTGAAAGACTACCTGGCTGCCATCGCATGATCATGTCCTGCCTGGTGCGGGGGCTCACTGGCCACATTTCAGGACAAAGACACAGCAGCAGCAGAGTAGCCCAACAGTCTCATGACACAAACCATGGTTATTCATATTTTCATAACTTTACTATATTCAAGATGATTAATGCGAGATGATAGAATCCGACTGGTCCAGAGCTATTTACCGACAATGAGTGTGTGTGTGTGCAGCTGACCTGGCTACCACTCACAACTGCATTAACCAGTCTCAATGGCTGCGAGATGTCTCATAACTAATTGGCTTTGTTGTCAAATGCGTTACATGCAAATGTGAAATGAGACAGTTGGCTGCTGGTCTTACAGAAAGGAATGTGGGATCTGAGTGAGGTCTCAAGTCTTCTGTTGAATCCTTCACTTTTCTTCTTTCTCATTTCTGTTGCTACAGCAATACCATCGCTTTACAAATTGAATACTGTTGCATTTGGTATTTTTGCGAAGTGGAACTGCGAATTAATTACCTGGCACAAAAACCAAGACTAATGCCTATTAGAACTATGACATCTATCTTGGGGGGGGGGGGGGTCGATCATCGTGGACATTGACGTGTCCCTGATTATCACCCACCTGCACTTCCAGAATAAACAAAAGAAAACAAGAAGGGAGGATACAATGGAATATTATGAGAATTTACAGTCAGGATCTGGTTGCCTGTACAGCAGTTTTACACATTGTACTTTTTTTCAGGCTAGAAACAATTCTAGAGTTTGTATTTTCTCTTCTGTAATCTGTCACATTCAAATAAAAGAAAATGAGTTTATTTTGACTCTGTTTTAATTTACTTCGTTTGGAGATGGTAGCTCAGAGCCGTGTGTAATCCTTATATACAGCCAACACATGAGACCCCTCAATCTGCTTTCTTCTGTTCTTGTGGACATGTGAAATACCATCAGTCACAGCCAATGTACTGCTCCATTTTAAAGTCTGCATATAAACAAATACATGCAGCCTCAAAGTAAAGGATGGACTTAAAAAAAATAGTTTCAGCCCTTTTCCACATTCACAACCACTTTTTGAGTAGCATTGTTCATGGAATTATCAGATGTATAAATGTGCAGGGGCATTGATGAGGCAACAAATGTATATCAATTAATCAATCAAATGTATTTATATAGCATGGTATCACAACCAACAGTTGTCTCAGGGTGCTGCACAAAAGTCCAAGATCTTAAAAAAGACAAAATCCAACTTGTTCCACAAGTTCCAAGATCTTATAACTTATAATGTACTTTT